CCGCTTGAGGCAAAGTCCCTTTCCGCCCCACTCGCTTATAACCCGTTTCCTCGTCGTTGTCGTGGGTCCTGCGAGCATTTCCGCGCAGCGCAAAGCTCGCAACTCAGCCATGATAAGCTTCCTGTCCCTCGTGTCGTCGTCGAACGAGAGTTGAAGAGCATCTGTGGAGAGGAACACGTTAACAGTAGCGAGCAAAAACGAGATCGGCTTTGACGCACCAAGAAGACCAGCGATTCGCTATCCAGCCACGTCACACGAGTCCTTGTCTTCGAAAAGCCTGCGAATGTCGGTAGTCGATACAGTCGGGCCATGCACCATCGGGTTCGCTGACCCTCACTCAGAAACAGGACAACAAACGAAGAGGATACGGCGCACCACCAAGACCAATGGTTTCTTCTTCTTCCCGCCCTCTTCGTTGTTATCATGTGCCGTCAGCGGTGGAGGCCGTGCGTATCGTTATCCGTAACCACATTCTAGGGGAGGAAGGTCAGTCAGACATCCGGCAGTCGGCCGTGAAAACGCACTGATAGACGCGTGACAGAGCGCCAAACCCTCAGATAGCTCGCGCTGAATCCGCCCACCCCAGCAGTAGTGTCCTCCGTCGAGTGTCGCAGATGACAGTGGCGAGGCGGGTGGTCGTCAAGACAAGGAAGATTGACGGGTAACGCGGTGTGACCGGCCCGTCTTTCCTTCTTCCGTTCCTCCACCACTGGGCTTTGCGGCAAGCCTCCACATGCCGGCGCTGTACGACCTTCGGGACTTGCGGGCTCTTTGAAAAGGAAGTCATGGCTGGATAATATGTCGGACATCTCGGTGCGCAAATCGCGTTTTTGTTGTTCTCAGATTTTCTGACTCTTTCTCGGCAGATGTCCATCCTCCTGCTCTGGCTACAGCTTCCCAACGATGATAAGCTCTGCGTCATTCAACTTTCTGAGTCCCGCACTGCTCCGCCATGCCCGCGGCGCCTGCAAACCAACGACGTGTCGTCCACGATTACCCGCGAAACTAATTTCGGGTGGTGGCGAGAGTGGTAGCGCATGGGGAAGGCTATCTTGGAGTGGGGCTGTGGCGTACGTCTTCCCGGTTTCGCCTCCGCTTTCAGTACAGCTGATATCTGCCTCCCAGCCATTCGTCAATCGTCATCTCATTCGCCGATAACAACAAACGGGAGAACAGGCGCATCTTATCGTGCCATTAACAACGAGCACAGCTCTCATCTTGTGCTCCAGCCTTATGTGAGTGAACCTACGAGAACAGGCGGTGTCTGGCAGTGTGCTCATTTCGTTCGACAGTACAGTAGTGTCTTACACGTAACTGGTGCCTCCGCCAAACCCAAGCTGGAGGAGTTAAGTCCACGCGATTCATCCACGAACGCGTGAACTTACTTCGCATAGGCCTTGACCCACCCGATTTCATTCGCAAACCTTCAAGGTAAGTTAGTACTCGTTTTGGCCTGATATGTACTTACCGGCCGCGCCTTCTTGCAGACCTGAATCGTCAAATCCACAGATTCATGTGCGTTCCTTCCTCGTTCAAGTTTCCCTCCTCACGGTCATTTGCAGCATGGTCGTTGAGTCGTTGTCCTGGTCGGCTGTTGGGCGTTAAAACTGGATCACTATTCAGCAAACGGTGCTGGTGACATATAAAATCTCACTATTCTCGCCTGCTGACCGTCCCTACACACTGGCAGTCGCGCTCGACAACGTCCAGGAGAAGTGCTATGGGCGGATGACAAACATACACTCTCCTCCCCCTCCATCCGCATGCTAACCTCCATTTTCAGCATTTTGACGCTGGCAATTCCAAAATGGCGCGTTTTCTCCTCCTCCTCGTTCTCTCGGCATCCGCGCTGACACACTTGTTATTTCCAGTGTCGATTTGGCGACTTTCGAAGACTGCTGGGGCGGGAGAGGTCGTTCGGGACATATAGGCGCAGGTCGGCAAGCGGCTGGACATAGTAGTCGGCAGTCTAGCATCTGTAGACAAATTTCGGCGCCTTGGGCCCCGGCCAACTTGGGGAAGGCGGGAAATGGGTTGGTAAGCGACACGTGTTACGGGCACGTGTCAATGACTCGACACGAAAAGGGGCAGTCCCTCTTTTCCTCAACGACGACAATGGCGGAAGCGCACCTCTCGGCGCGGCGCGACGCGATGAAGCAGTCTACGACGTGGACATGCGGTGTGCTTGACGTCCGACGCGAGGACTTGACGCTGTTCTACAAGCACGCTGACACTGCCAGTGAACGGTGGGGCCGCCGCTTGTGCGTTGCAGCTGCTCCAACGTTGACTGTTTTTTCTTGAAGACTCGCGATGCTCAACTTTGGAGAGGCAACGGAGGCGCAGCTGCAGGACCTAGCTGCCGCGTGTCGGCCCGCGACATTTGGGCGGGGGACGGAAGACGTGCTTGACGAGGGCTACCGCAAGGCAGGGAAACTCGACTGCGGCGACTTTGCGGCATCGCTTGACATTGGAACACTTAATATCCTCGATGAAATTACACCGGATTTGCTCGACGGACGCGGGGACGCAGTTATCACGGCGGAGCTGTATAAGCTGAACGTATATGGTGAGTTCAATCCTTGAAAAGTTCTGCCTTTAAATTTTATTGAATGTCCTCCGGGCCCTGGCTCTTTCTTCAAGTCTCACAAGGACACGCCCCGCAGAAAAAGCATGGTCGGCTCGCTCGTCATTGTTCTTCCCACAGACCACCGAGGCGGACAACTGAACTTGTCACACGGCAAAAACTCGTTCACGTTTGACTCTGCGGTGCGAGTGGCCGGTGAAAGCGGCTCAATCGCATACGTCGCCTTCTTCAGCGATGTCACCCATGCTGTCGAGCCCGTTGTCGCCGGCCATCGGGTCACACTCACCTACAATCTGCTCATTTCGCCAAAATCGTCCTCGTTGCATCTGAACACAAGACAGCCGCTGTCTGAGGTCGAAGTCGCCTGCCAGAGTGCATTGGCCGCGCTGCTTGCCGACCCCGCTTTCCTGCCCGACGGCGGTCTTCTCGGCTTTGGGCTCGAGCACGAGTACCCTGTCCCGCGCACGATTTCCGACCCAACCACCCTCGGCCACGTGCTCTATATGCTCAAGGGGGCGGATGCACGGATGCAGCGTGCAACAGCCCGGGCCGGGCTCAAGACGACGCTCAAGCTCGTGTATATCACGTCACACAAACTATTTTAAAACAACTGAGATGCCTCATCTTACTAGTGAAACTTGATATACAAGGGAAAAGCAGTTTATTCCAGAGTTTTTTCACAAAATCTTAAAGCATAACTTGATATATGGGCCAGGCTTGTGGCTGCAACACATACTACAACTGACCTACAGAGGGGTACAGCTGCTACCAGTAATTCCAGCTAGTATGTGGGTAGGGGAGAGCATGATGTTAGCCTAATTGTGGAGGATCATTAGCTGTAGCTGCACAGAGGGCTTTCTGAAAATTTCCTTTTTAGGCAATTAAGCGCTTAAGCCCTATGGCTTATTTAAGGGCTTAAGGCTTACTTAAGGCTTAATCGATTTTGGAGCCCCAAATTAAGGGCTTATGAACATCACTGATGTTATCCTCTCATAGATAAGATATTTTACCCTTTTGAAAGTCTGCACACTGACTTTTCCCACACCCTTGTCAACAGGTATTTTTCTAAACATCCTTTTATGCTAGTGGTTAATAAGTAGTCCAATATGTCAGTCTTCTTCAGCCATTATCATTACCAGGTAACAATTAGCCTTATCACTATATGCAAGAAGACTACTCACAGTACTAGTTAGTATACAAGCTGGTTTTGTATAAGGTTCATAAGTTCGGGGCTGACATATAAGTTGCTATAATAATATATTATGCTAGAGCCATAATAATATAATAATAATATTAAATAATATAATAATATAGTAATGTAATATAGTCTGGAATAATAATAGTAATATGGTATGATGATAGATAATATACTAATGGCCAGCACTACTTACTACTAGGAATAGTATATGGCTCGTATATGGCGGTTACTTTGAGTAAAATAAATAAATCTGGCCACTCTGCTGTTGAAATCAGCGATGATCCGAGCGCTGATGGGATCAAAGTGAGCGCAATCAGTTTGCAATCACACTCCGATCAAGGATCTGTGCGTTAGGGCAAACGATGCCCTACGCTGAGTATCTATTGACTTTATATACTAGTTGTACATTATTCTAGTATATTCTAAGTGAGTCAGGAAAAGATCAGTCAGCATAAGGTGGAAAATGCCAGAATATTCCGGCGAGTCACACTGTGACCATCAAAACCTCAACATCTGCTCTGCCCCTTCCAGCCACTCCAATCTCCGGGCCTTCAGGGTTGCCTTTATATTTGTTAGAGGTGATCAAGGCACTTAAAGGAGCTTACCACTCCATGCATGTGTAGCCAAATAAAATTCCTGCAATTATCCAATTTCCATACTCTTCGACTGGTTATAACTTATTAAACACTAGGGCTTGCTTTATCATCCAGGTTATCTTAAGCAGAGTGGACAATCGTCTCCAAAGTAGACCTAAACCTGACTATTGTTTTGTTTGTGCAACTACACTTCTCCAAAAAAGGCAATCCCGGGCCCTACTGGTAATAAATGCGACACAATTCTTACAATGCATTTTTTTTTGAATGGAAATATTTTATAACGGTAGTGCATATAATTATGTACTATTCTTGTCAGTTACAGCCAAATCCGGCGAGAAATGCTTACGCAACGCCCTAGGGTACTGTTCAAACAGTTAATCACGTGTCTGCAATATAGAAGGCTTGTGCTCGATTTAAAAAAAGGCTCGCAAAATTGAATGTCAAAGGCAAGAGTCGCAAGACTTTGGGCAAAAGGCTGGCTGCTGGCAAATTTCAAGATTTGCTCCAAAATGCTTGCGAGACAGTAAATGTCTTGCGATTTATTTTTTTGCTTAAAGTAACCGCCATAGGAATAGTGCCTGCTCTCTCTGACTTGAAATTCTAGAATCTAAACTCTAAAGGATTATGCATCAAAGACGTTATCCCAGACTTGCATCTGTACATAATCTCTCCATGTCCTTACCCTATGCCCTAGACAATTTCCAAGCTGAACGGCGTCTTCAGTGTAGTCTAAAAAGACACATCAGCATATTCGGCGTTTGCACAAGAAGAAAAGCCTACACCCAAACTCTCCAATGGCAGCGAATAGCTCGTCGAAGGCCACGGCCAGATGAACTGGCATACCAGCGGCGGTCATCCCAGCTACAAAGGCCGCGGATGTGATTTGATTGAAGACAACCTTCTTGCCTGTCGCTGAGAAACACAAAAGGTGAGGAACAAGGGGGTGTCACGTGTCAAAAAGTGACAACAGGGATGGTCGGTCGGTCCCCCCTCCGGACCCTTAATTTTTTTTTTCTGTAGAAACTTTTTGGTGAAAAATGTGAGCCAAAATTGCCTTAGGGTGGGTTACAAGTTGTGTTTAGTGCACTATACATCTATAATTAAGTACTAACAATCTCACAAGGGGTTTTTTCTTTAGTATCTCATGATTAGATGGGAGATTGCATCAAATTAGGCCATATGGGGCAGGAGTCTGTACTGTGGGGTGAGACTTATGAAACAATGACTATATCAGAACCTACCCTACAAGATATATAGATACCTAGGATTCTGTATTTTCATTAATATTCAGACAACGGACTGAGTCTAATGCTATCAGATCACATGACTGTGTGAAACACCTTCCCAATATGGCAATGTCACGTCACAGTCACGGTCGGTGGGTCCCCTGGAGGAGCTTAAACAAAAAGTCCAAGGTATGTTCCTTTATTTTTTTTCTGATACCCCCTTGGTGAGGAAACCAAACGGAAAGGAAGCTAGTTATCTCCACTCACCCTCAGAAAGCTGTCGGACCTGGTCCTCGCTGCTCAGCATCTCTGCAAACACCGCCCACGTCTGCTTATCGGGGAACACAGTCGCTTCGATCGCCTTGCGCACAAAGAGCCCATAGTCGTGGTGGGCATCGATGAGCGGTATTCGCGCTGAAGGCGAAATGGGGAGGCTGACTGCCCAGACATCTGGCGCGACCTTCCGCGGGCGCATTATCGTGCACATATTGCTCGCATAGCCTCCTGCTTGGAGGACAACGAAGGGGACGCCCGATGCCCGACCGTATTCTGACACGAGAACCTTGCTTTTGAAATGGCAAACTTGTGTGTACTTGCTGCGCGACAGAGAGGCCATACTGGGAAGACCTGACCAGACGATGCCCTTAACTCCGGCAGCCTTCGCTGCGTCGATCATGAGTTTACCTTCCGCCGTTTCCTGTGAAAGTGTCAACAGCTGTCTGCAGCAAGGGACTATGACTCACCCGACCCGGATCGAAATGCTCCGCCCAATTGGTGAGCAACTAGCAAGACATATGTGAGTACACTTTGCCAGAGGAAAAAGTAGCTGTTAGTACAAAGGCATAGTCCGCGCCTTCGAATGCCGCAAAAACCGCCTCCTTGTTGTCAGCTGTCAAAGACAGGCCGACAACTTCGACGCCATGCCTGGACAGCGCCATCGAAGAGGGTTTGGCAGTGTCGCGAGTAAATGTGCGAATGCGGTATGACTTGTCGGATTCCAAAAGGGCAAGCACAACGCTGCCGCCTTGAGCCCCGGTCCCGCCCACGACAACAACAAGTGGCGAGTCGGTGTCTTTCACGATGGTCATTGGGGGAAAGGTAAGCTGAGCGATAACACATACCCGTCTTCTTATATTTCGGCGTTCATTGCCCCGTAACAGCGGAATGGAGCTTCCACATGAGGAGCGCGAGCCCAAACTGATAGTTGTCGAAGACGATTGTCGTGAGGTTTATTTACATCGCGATATGGTGATAGAATCCTCTCCGGCGCCGCAAGTTGTGGCCTCGTTCGGAGGGCATGAGCCAAAAAGAGTGGGGGTATCCCGTTATTAAGCGGAGGCCTAATGAATGCTAATAGAAATCCGGCGCAAAGTGACGGGTCCGGTATGCAGACGGAGGGTTGAGTTTGCACGGTACTGATCCAATAGCGAGGGAGAATGAAGTCGTATTGCGCGACCAAGGTGTGTCTATTCATCCGGAGCTCGGTCACCCCTGTCTTCATTGCCGAAGTCGTCCTCGCAGCAACCGGACTCGAGTTGTGCCGTGGTCCGTGGACTGGTTGGGAAAAAGCGGCAGAGAAGAGAAAGTATGATCACAACATTGACGACAAGTTGGCATAGCGATAATCTAGCGGTTCGGGATTGAGAAGAGCACACCAAAGATAGACCAGTGCAGCACATACCAATGGGATACGGACACTTTAAAAATAGCCCAGCAAAGTCACCGAGGGATTGTCGTCAATTCAGTGAGAACGCTCCATCTGGTTCTTCGTTTTGCCATGAGGGTTGTGCGGGAAACGATAGGAACAATATATGCCCGTGAGTGCAGGCTGCAGCAGCAGCAGGCCGCACTTTGTCAGGGAGAACCACATCGTTGGTTTCACGCAAGAGGAAGAGCCCAAGACGACGGATTTGAAACAAGATATTTGACTCGGATAACGTCGACTGGGAAGAAGAGCGTGGAGTATTTGAACAAGACATAGAGATGAGCTGACGGCGGAGCATTAGGTGAGGGATATTGGTTGTGTAGGCTTAAGACCAGGTTAGTGGGCTTAAGCTTGCATATCAGAAAAGACAGAAACATAGACACACCGCCGGTAGAGCGACCCTCCAGGTTCTTTCTCTTCTCCCTCGGTTGAGCGTTGCTGATTCAGAGGCGATTGAGCCTGAGGGTGTGGGAGAGAAGGCCGGAGAAGTCAAATGATTCTTCGACCATTGCGTGAGGAGGTTACTCGGAATATTGATTCGAGAAACTAACCAAAATACAAGCATTCCCCTCTGAATCTATTGTCCTTCGCGGTAGGCATGATGTGCGAGCTGTAAGCATCGTTGGTGGTTGCCACTGGTTGGTTGGTGGTCAGCAAAAGAAATGATACGGGTGCCACCAATTCCCGATCACACCGTGCTTTGCTGACTTCTACTCTGACCATGACGAGTCAACAACTCAGCCCACTTATCGCTACCTGTGGACGTCTCTCCAACATGTTCCGGTTACCCGTCCTTCATCGAGCCTCATCGGGCATTACGCAGAGGGCAGGGAGTGACGCGTCATCATCGACTTCGGCCTCGATTTGAAAACGACGACTACCCCCACGCGGCCCGGACGACACATTTCACATTACTTACGAGGAAGGTGGAAAGCGCGGGCGCCACCAGCGGCGCCGTCGACGCATTACTCGTGGTTAGTAGTCTGACGTTTTGCTTATAAAAAGCTAGCTTACTGAGCCTACAGAGCCACCGATATCCTGACTATGACCATCACCAAGGACCCTGCTGCCCCTCTTGTCGCCGTTGTCGGCGCTACTGGGACCCAAGGCGGCAGCGTCGTCCTCGCCCTCACTGAATCCGAGCGACCATATCGAATTCGCGCATTCACCCGCGATGTCTCAAAACCTGCAGCGAAAGCATTGGCGGAGAAGGGCATCGAGGTGGTCGCGGTAACATTGGCGGTGGAGAATAGAGATGCTGTATTCAATGCGTTTGAAGGGGTGGACTATGCTTTCGTGTGTGCTGCCCTTCCTCAGTCAGATTTGTACTTATGCGCTTCGTAGCTTGTCACTAACTGGGCGGAACACGGAGACCCACCGCGGGTGAGTCATTACAGTCCTGGATTCATTGCCTCAACTCCCTCTCAAGGAAACCATTGAAGGCAAGCTCATGATAGACGCTGCAAAAGCCGCAGGTGTCAAGGGCATCGTCTGGTCCGGGCTGCCCAGCATCGACGCTCTGTCTGGCGGCAAATACAAGAACGTGGGCCATTTCGAAAGCAAAGCACGCGTCTCCGACTACGGCCGCGCTTCTGGGGTCCCTTTTGTCGACATCTAGGCCGGCGGGTACGCGAGCAATATGCGCACCTTCATGCGGCCAGTCAGAGTCTCCGAGGACACTTGGGCCGTCAACCTTCCCCTGCCCCCGACGAGGCGGATGCCTATTATTGACGCTGAGCAAGACTACGGCCTGTTTGTCCGTAAGGCACTCGAGCTGCCGGTCTTTCCCGACAAGCAGACGTGGGCGACATTTGACGAGCTTATTAGCTTTGAAGACCAGACGAAGGAGCTTTCAGAGGGTGATGTTTCCCCATGGTGACTCTGTCTCGATGGCTAATCGTTCTCCAGCGACTGGCAAGAAGGTCGTCTTCAACCAGATATCGTCCGCGGTCTTTGGCGAGGGAGTCAAGAGCGCTGGTACTCCGCCACATATTGCGCTGGCCATCGAAGAGGTCTTCACATCTGTCGGCGAGTTTGGATGTACAATCTTTCTTCTCTTTCCCGCTTTGATGAATACTAACTTCTTGCTCGATAGACTTTTCGGAGGGCACTGTCGTCTCACAGGAGGGGCTCGCTCGCCAACCGCGGACGTGGAAGCAGTACCTGGAGGCTCAAGATTGGAGCGATGTGCTCGTTTGAGTGTTCTGTCTAAAGCACTTATTAGCTACCGTCGGCTTTCCAGCTACACACAATAGTTATAAGCTTCTCATGCAATACTTGATGTACCAGTAGAAATGAAAGCAAAACTGGTCACCTCAATTCCGAGTCAGGGTTAGTCATTTGTGAAGCTCGAAAAAGCGACTAGACGCCTTGCCACAACTGAACAGGGCAAAAAACTGAATATATTTCCTGCCTCTATTGCGTCTCTCTAATCGTCATCTCCGCAGACCATGCTCTGCTTCATCTTGGACGTCGTCATACATCATACTTATATGAATTTTTGTCCTTAGATTCGTTCTCCCCTGCCCTCTGCCCACGCCCATCCCAGTTTGGGACAGCTTGAAGGACGCTCAGTGCGCTGGCTTCGCCGGCGGCCGCTGCCCTCAATGCTCCCGCTTTCGCGACTTGACCTCTCTGGATTCGCCAGTGGTTGGTCCATTGGTTTCTGCTGGAAGACATCCGCACTCACCACTCGCTAGAAAGACAGAGCCTGAGGTAAACCGCCGTCCTTGCATGTGGTATGGCTCTTGCTGCCCGCGTCGTTGACGCTGACTCGGTTCAGCACAATTAACAGTCGGGTTTGGGCTTGGAGAGCCTGCGTTGGTGAATCCCGCTGTCTTGCGTGAGGTGTGTGCCGACTTGTCGCTGGTCTTGACGATACCAACGAACGGCACAGTTAGTAATACTATAGACGTCCGACAAGCGACTTACTCGATGGTGGGGCTTTGTCTCAAAGGTGCTATCGCCGCAAACAGACTCGTTGTCGCTAAGGTGCGTTTCCTGTTGTTACAGTCTTGCTGCGTTTGACGAGGTGATAAGCCGCGAGCAACGGCAGGAGTGAAAGGATACGCACAGACTTGATTCGTAACGGACTGGAGCCCATGAACGAGCCCTTCCGCTCTATGTACAACCCTGCCGTGCCCGAGTTCCGTCAACTTTTGGGTACAGAGTCAGTCGGACTTTCGAAAACTTGAAGAGTGCTGAGCGTACGACCAGGTTTATTGGGAGAGTCTGCATAATTTTGTTGGGCACGCGCGGGGGATTGAGGGTCGTTGGGTCGTAGTCTGGCCAGCGGGTGCGAGTTGGGAGGCTAGCAAACTTGAATAATGACAGACATAGTGGTTGATGAGAGAACGTCGCAGCAAGGTGTTGTGTCGCCGCCTTCATTTGAAAGCGAGTGCATGCCTCCCTGGGTTCTCGGACCTCCAGTTTGCGGCAATGTATCGTTCGTATTCGCGTGGTGGAATGGAAAGCACTCAGGCTTGTGAATCGTTTCGAAACGCGGGAAAGGAGACACGCGTGACGATGCTTAGATCAGCACACCGAGCTTGTCGTCCCCCTCCTCCACCTTTTGACTTCGTCGTCTAGTCCGAAAGTAAGGGCCTGGGACATTTGACTACCGCATGATTGAACCATTGCTCCTCAGACTCTCGACTTCTTTGGCAACTCGGAGGACTCGAAAAAAAATTGGCGAACTCGGCACCAGCCTGAGCCACACGGAGATGCCAATACTTATTATCCCTTACGGTCGAGTTGCAACGCGACACATGGATCGCCATGAACTGTAGAGTGCTGTTTCACCCGGGTGAAGGGATTGCGTGATCGTGAAGACGAATCTGCTTTCGAGAAAAAATGGTCTATGCTTGTGCGTCCAGCAACATCCTCTGTTGTTGGCACCCCATATTGACCTGCGTCTAGAGGTGAAAACTCAGCGATAGTGCGAACAACCACTGGCCCGGGGACACAGAACACCACCAGCCTCGTGCTCCGTCTGGGCCATTCGTGAAGGGAAAGCGAAGGCACTGGCGGTCTGGGATATGAAGGCTACTAGTGGATTGAGAGATGGGTCCAGCGCGCTGCTCACTGTTCTCGCTCTTTCACTGCCCACGACGGCCTCGGATTGAACGATTGACGCTCTGCTTCCGCTCTCTTTTCAAGTCCTTTATTCAACGTGAGTGGCTCTTCTGTACTGTGATTGTTTTTCCGACCACACTTTCAGTGGACGAACACGTACCCTCACCCGCAAAATGCATACGACAACGTGTCAGGGAGCAAGGAGAATCCACAATTACCCATGGCCAACCTGCCTCGTCATCTCCCACCGTCATTCTACAGCTCTTTCCACCAACGAGGTCCCACTACCATCTTCACACACGTCCACAATGATGCCCCCTCCCCGCCACAATCTCATCTCGGTGTCATTAGCTTTTGCCGCGTCCACTATTATCTCCCCAGAATCTCACGTCGCATTCTCCGCTTGGTGTCTGAGCCCGTCCCAAGTCGACAATAAAACGGGAGATTGGATATACCAACAAGGCTCAGGCTGGGGAGATGGCCATCCAATATGTCGACTACTAGGACGAGTTGACTGAACGCTACGTCGATTTTGACACTCTCGTCCCACGGACTGTGCTCAATGATGTCCTCGGTGTCGAAGGTCAATTACCGGTCAACAAGTGGGAGGTGGTGTGTCATGACTATGGCGTCGGCCATGTTCTCGCTCATATTATGAAGAAGGGCGAGGAAGTCGCTGTCGTTTATAACCCCGAGGACTGGCGGATCTAGACGCTCGTAGTTTTCATACCCATGACAACGACAACTCGCTCCCATTCCTTCGCGTCTTCTCTCATCTGCCTACTTTTTGCCTTCGACTTTTCCTAATCACCCTATAAAAAAACCAAGAACCCTCGATAGACAGAAAGCCGCGTCCCACCCCCACAGTCTCGATATCTTTTTACTGTACTTGTAGGATACTTACTCAGACCGACCTCTTTTTAGCGCTGACAGTACATATCTTGTAGCTAGAAGTACTGGATCACGGTTGCATGAACCGAACCCGCGCTGGCTTTACAATACTGGATATTATCTAGATGGATTCTGTTTGTTTTTTGATGCAGTTCGACGCGTTTTCCTTCCCGAGTGACAAGTCCCGTGAGTGTGACTCCACGTTTCCTCTCACCGCCAAAAGTTTGCTGCCAGTGACTCGCTCTGGCCTACAACATGCCTCGAACTCTCCCAATAGTGCTGCTGTATATGAACGAGACGTAAGCCTGGCGCTTACTGCCTCAAGGCCGCGCAGAGTGGCCCCACAAAACCTCCACAGCCTTGTCATGACTAATGGCTTCCACAGACTTGCTTCCTCCCGTCATGCCAGTCCGACCAGCATTGGACATCCTTCCCCGCGAGCTCTGGGAGACACTATTCGACCTCCTGTCAGAAGACCTGCTCTTGAAACTGGCCCAAGTGTGTCGGTTCTTCAATGCTCGTTGCCTCGATAGGTTTCTTTACGGGTCGCTCAGCTATATAGGCACGGCAACGCGGGTCTCTATCGACTCCTGCGGCCTTCTTGCCCTCCCGCTTTGCGTTCTCTGGAAAGAGTTCCCCATCGAGGTCCTCATCTGCGAAGAGCTCGACGCCTCCGACTTGCCCAGGCTGCTGTCATGTCTAGACCGCGTCATCCTCCGCTCGCCCAAACTGCACACCCTCTATCTTAACTTCAACACCGACCTACTCGCGGACTCTTCTCCTTATAAACCCCACAAGCTCATCCTGCCTTATGAAACCCGCGCGCTGTTAAAGATAACCCGCTTCCTTGCTAGCTTACGCGAGAGCCGACCCGTAGATAGTCGTAGTTTGTCCTCCTTGCACTATAGACGAAGTACCGAGGCAAACCGTAAAGACCGTTACCCGTTACCCCCCATCATCTACCCTGGCGACCGGTCGGGCTTCCCGGCGCCGATCTGTCGCATTGGCATCAGCCACGTGCCTCGTCGCACGCCAAGCCGCCAAACGCCAACACACCCCCTCGTGCGAGAGGCACCCAGAACCAGTCCCCTCCAACGAGCTCCATCCATCCAACCCGTCCCGCCAGTCCGATCCGACCGACGACACGTAACCGCATGCAAAGTCCGCATGCCCCGCCCCGAGACCTAATCCAGCCTCCGGCGTTCCGTCCGCTCAGCCAGAAATCCCATCCAGCCAAGTCGTTCACCCCCTGGTCCGACGCACAGCCTATCCCAGCCCCACGCCCAGCCCAAGGTCTGCCCGCAGCCAGTCCCACGCAAGTCGATGCACTAGCCCCCGTGCCGCGGTGCCGATGCGTAATCTGGGTTGCAAAGCAGGTCTGTGGCACCACCCCAGGCGTGGGTAGACCCATGTCTGATTCAATGCGATTCCATGGCTACAGCCCTGTATCGATTGAATTATATTACAGCTTGGGCTCTCTAGCAAAAGCCGAAAGAACCCGTATGGGTCCGATTGCTGTCTCGGGCGGCGCTCTTGAGCCGGGAGTGTTGTCCACGGTGCGACACCGTCGGGTAGGTGCACGCGATCTTCCGCCTCGCGCATTGACTGATACATTCTCGTCAGGAAAAATGATAATGGGAAGAGAGTGGGGACGCACTTGCACCGTCCATCAACACTACCGTCTTCCGGGCGCCCACACGCAATCTTGCGTTCGCGACAGAAAAAGCACGAAAGCGCCTGCTTCTTCGTCCGGCCAGCAGGCATGCCAGGGCGGAGTGCGAGGCTGAAAATGAGCGGTTGTGGTTGGCTGTCGAGCGGTTCGTATCGTGGGGGTTGTTGCTGCGGGAGGCTCTTGTTGGAGGACGAGGGAGGAGACGGGGCGTTGTGATGGGTCAAATGTACCAGTGGACGCGCTGATGGGCGTCGGCAGCGCGATCGTCATCACTGGTGTCACGGTCGATGCAGGGCTGGGGCCAGAGCGGCAAAGCGCAGAGTACGGCGACAAACACGCCTTGTCGGGCGGCGGTGCAGCGGGACAGTGTCGGGCCAGGTCGAGAAAGCGGTCGTGTACCGCGCCAGGGCCGGCTTCTCTCCGCAGGGGCCTGGATGGCTGCTCTCGTCAGCGACAAGTTACGAGAAAGGCCACGCAACGCACCACTTTCAGCGGGGGCAAAACCACACCCTTCATCGGCCTGGAGGTTGGCTGGTGTGGGCGAGAAAACGGCCCGTCGATA